TATGCCCCCCTCTCCCTTCACGTCACGTGGCAAGCATGCGATTGCACCTCCAAGAGAAGACCAAGGCGGGCGGCCCGCTGAATGTTCTGTGATTTGTCTTTGCTCTTCAGTGCCGCAACTGCACGTCAACGGTGACAGCGTGAGCCCGCACAACAACATGTGTATATGCAGTCTGTTCAAGGAGTGATGTGTCCAACATCAACGATGATACCATCGTTGCCCACCCTTCACATCATATGTTATCACCGATGGCATGTTTCACCCTTCACGACAATCTGCACGAGCATGATGATCACATGTGCTCACCTCCTCCATGCAGCATACGGATGAGGTCATACAAGATGACAATCTTGCGCTCCAACCACTGCGGTGGCAGCGTGCCATCGATGATCAGGAACTGGTACCCGTCAAACTGAACGCAAGACGAAGCGAGGTGAGCGGGTGCGCACGTCCGCTGTTCAGCGAAGCGGTGCGGGGACACTCCACCTGCTCTCACACACGTACACGCACACGTACACTCGCACGCATACACGCACACACACATACACACTCACTTACACTCACTCACACTCACTCACGCGCGCATACACATACACATACACAAGTGTGTGTGTGTGTATGTGTGTGTACCTCTCGCATGACAATGGAGTGGCCGGAAGGGGTGATGCCGTAGTAGAATTCCTGCTTCGGCCCAGCTTCCGTCACCTGCATCACATGAGACACACGACAAAGCAAGGAATAAGCATGGCTATGCAATGCGCTGTGGTGCATGTGTTTCGGCTGCACGTTTGAGGAGACAATGGGAGGTGCGTGTGCAGGCTACGCACGTGTGTTGAGACGATGATGGGTGCAAACACTTCCTGCAACGACTCTGGAGTCGGTTCATCATCAATGCTGCCGGCATCCTCCTTCCCATATTTCTTCCGTCGCTCCTCCGCGCGCTGTGCGGGATGGCAAAGGAATAGCGATCGTGAAGGGTGAGTGCAAGAGAGCGCGCAGTGTGCGTGCGTGCATGTGTGTGTGTTGGTGGGTTCTGTACTTCAATGCCACAAAGAGATGCAATCACAAAGGGAGTCAATCACATCACGATAGTTAACACACAAGTGCACAAGTGCACAAGTGCACACACACACACACACATGCACAAACGATGCTCTTGCGCACCTTGATGGCCATGATCCTGAGCCACTTGTGTGCTTCCTCGTTGGCGTGAAAGAAGATGGGGTGGGCCATCTCCTTGGTCATGACCGTGGAGACTTGGATGTTGTGTTCCTCAACATGATCCCAATCACCACACTCGGTGCTCCAGTCCAACACGCTCGTCATACCGTCCGTGTGTATGTATGTACGTGTGCTGTGTGTGTGTGTGTGTGTGTGTGTGTGCCGTTGGCTATTGTGTGTGTGTGTGTGTGTGTGTGTGTGTGTGTGTGTGTGTGTGTGTGTGTGTGTGTGTGTGTGTGTGTCTGTGTGTGTGTGTGTGTGTCTGTGTGTGTGTGTGTGTGTGTGTGTGTGTCACAAGTGTCCTCCACTCACTCCGGCTCACTCACGCTCATTTATGTGCACTATATTTTTGACTGTCGTGTCGACAAGATGGGCAAGCGCAAGGCAAGCGATGCTTCTGTGGCCAAGAAGGCCAAGACCACTGACAATGGCAGTGGTGGTGGTGGTGCTGGTAGTGCTGCTGGTAGAGTGAGCGCGGAGGGCATTACGGGGCTTGTTGACACCGTGAAGCAGGACCTGGAGGCCATCAAGACTGCTGCCTTGGCGAATGCCGACGAAGAAGATACCGCAACCACGGATGAGCTGAACGCTCGTTTGAAGACGTTTGCCGCCAAGGTCACCGCCATCAAGATCCTTGCACGTCAACTGGCTGTGCGTGTCGTCGATTCCACAGAGCGCGTCAAGCAGGTGTGTGCGTGTGTGCGTTTGCACGTGTGCGTATGTACGTGTGCGTTTGTATGTATGTATGTGTATGAGTGTGCGTGCGTTTATTCGCGCGTGAATGTGTGCGTGTGTACGTATGCTTTGTGTGTGCATATGTGTGAGCGAAACGTACATTCGCGTGACATGAACATGTTTTTCTGCATCCACTAACCCAATGGCTCACGTGCACGCACACCAATGTGGCACTGTATGTATGATCATAGGCCAAACAAGGCATGGAGGCGACGCACCTGCAGCTGCAGAACGTGTTGTACGAACACCTCCACGTGCTCAACGAAATCAAGACCTGTCAAAGCTACCGGTATGTTGCGGGCATGTTCACGGAGTTGTTGTGCACGTGCGGTCGCCTCCACATGTGCACAAACACGCTTCCACAAACATCCACTCCTCACATCATCGCGCCATCAACTGACACACTCACTGTGGCGTGCATCAGGTCGCGAGCAGAGGACCTGGAGCTTGTCACGCGGGACGAATATCTTGCGTCGGATGCAGCGAGTGGCGAAGACAAAGACGAGCACCACGAGATGCTCGGCCGCCTCCAGTTCGAGGCCGAGGAGCGCGCAAGGTGTTATGTGTGTGTGTGTGTGTCTGTGCATCTGTGCTCTGTGTGTGTCTATGTGTCTGTGTGTCCGTGTGATGTGTTTACGTGCGTGTCTCTGTCACTGCCCTCCCCCCCCCCACACACACTCTGTGCGTCTCTGTGTCACCGTGCTTTACCTGACTGCCACTCATACATTGACTGTCCATTCACCTCCCTGACCGTCGCCTCTCACCCACACCAACCAACTCCCCCCTCCCCTCTTCCCTTCACCCTTTCATCCCCTTCAAGGCTGCGGAGTGATCTTGAGGAGCGGCAGTACCGCAAGACCGCCATCTCCAATATCAACGAGAAGAAGCGCGCCATGATCAAGGCCGCGCCAGATGCAGTCACGCACCTGCTTGACGCGTGCAACAAGTGCTCAGACGTGTTTGGCCCAGCCAGCATGCCCCACGATGAGCTGTTGGCCAAGTTCAGGGCGTCCCACCCACTGGCTGATCGCCTACCTGCCCCGCTCCACGCTTTGCTCATGACTGTCGCAGGCTACAACATCGCATACGAAGGTAAGTGTGTGTGTGTGTGTGTATACATGCGATCTTGTGCTTGTATGTGTGTGTATACGTGCGTGCGATCTTGTGCTTGTGCTTGTGCTTGTGCTTGTGCTTGTGCTTGTGTGTGTGCTTGTGTGTGTGTCTGTGTATACGTGCGATCTTGTGCTTATGTGTGTGTGTCTGTGATCTTGTGCCACCGACTTGCACGTGCGCCTTCACCTCACACCAAGTCTCATCCACGCCCATTCTCTTCAACCCACACACACACACACACACACACACACACACACACACACACACACACACACACACACACACACACACACACACACACACACACACAGCGCGATCATGGAGTGTTCACATCGCCGGCGACGCCGCTGCGGTGGATAAGTTCGAGGCAGAGGTGGACGCGTGCGAAACATACATGTACGCATTGGCGCGCAAGGAGCAGGGCGACAACGACGACGTCGAAGATGAAAGAGATGAGGATGATGAAGACGAGGAGGAAGGTGGCAAGCGAAGCAAGGATGCACACAAGAGCCAAACTGGACAGTCAAAGACAGCGGTGAGCATGTTGTCGTGTATGTGTGTGAAGACGTGTGTGTGTGTGTACGTGCATATGTGTTCGCGCGCGTGTGTGTACGTGCACGTGCACGCATGTTCATGCATACGTGTTGACTTGCGTATGCGCGTTTTGCAACCACCCACAACATGTCATCACCTTCATGTCATCACCATCGCCACCAGACGGCGCCAGCCAACCTCCACCAGCTGCTGTTCACGCCGCACCCGCTCTCCCTCGAGCTCAAGTCAACGCCAGATGCAGGTGCGCGTGTGTGTATGTGTGTATGTGTGTATGTGTGTATATGTGCGTATGTGTGTATGCGTGTGTATGTGTGTGTATGCGTATGTCTGTACGTTGTATGGAACAGGCTCGCTTCGTGACCACTTGTGCCTCACCGCGGCTCCTCTGTCCTCTCTCCACCTTTTCGTATCCACCGCTGCCTTCATCCCCACCACCAGCGAAATCGCTTCGTCTCGTGTTCCGCCATTACCCGCTCCTCCACATCGTCACCACCACGGAGCAGAGCCCAAAGACACAGCGTACGTTCGTGTGGGCGAACGTGTGTATGTGTCTGTGTACATGTGTGTGTATGCGTCTGGGTGCATGTGTGTATGTGTGTGTGTGTGTATGTATGTGTCTGTGTACATGTGTATATGTGCATGTGTGTGTGTGTGTGTTGCTGTTTGCGATTGACCAACATCCCATCGCACACCGCACACCGGCCACGTCTATCCATCCATTCCTCACCACCACCGCCATCATCGCCAGTGCCTGTGCTGCAGCACGTTGCTCCGGCAGACAGCGGCAAGACCCCTTCGTCTCCATCGTCGCCGGCATCGCCACCACCGCCCGTCATGTTCATGCTCGACAGACTCGGGTGCGTCTGTCTGCTTGTCTTTGTGTGTGTGTGTGTGTGTGTGTGTGTGTGTGTGTGTGTGTGTGTGTGTGTGTGTGTGTGTGTGTGCGTGTGTGCGTGTATGTGTGTCTGTATGTATCTATGTGCGTCTGTATGTGTGTGTGTGTGTGTTGGCGCGTGTACTCGCCTTGTTGTGATCCAAGACGCCACTCACCATCTCACTATCTCATCCACCTTCCCTCCACCTCTCCCCCATTCGTCAGCGTGGAGGATTACCGCCCTCGCCTGACCGGCACCATCGTGCCCGCCGTCCAGGACATCGCGGGACTCACAGACGCAGGTCGCAAAACACGCCCATGGCATTGGTGGCATTAGTGGTATTGGTGGTGGTGGTGGTGGTGGTGGTGGTGGTGAGAGAATTGGTTGAGGGCGGTGGTCGACAGTGAAGGGTGGGGCTTGAAGCGACAATGTGTGTGTGTGTGTGTGTGTGTGTGTGTGTGTGTGTGTGTGTGTGTGTGTGTGTGTGTGTGTGTTGTTGTT